CCAAAGACTCTTATAAAATTCACAATACAATAAAATATGATCCACTGTTTCAGGATCAGTATAATTACCGGGACAAAGTGATAAAGATTGGAAGTCACTTCTTAAAATATTTCTTTTCTCTTTTTCTTATTTTTTTCTCTTTCCTTTTCCCCCTCTTTTCTTGCACTCTCTACTCTCTATTTTCTTTTCTTTTCTGAGTTTAGTTTGTGTTGTCTTTTATTATTGTTTTTAAAAAAACTTTTAATTAAAATTATTTTTTAAAAAGGAAGAAATATTTATTATATTTCTCCCACTATCTTGTATTATTTAAGATATGCTAATATTTCAACAACACTTTTGATAAGTTAATTTTACAAAGTATTCTAAAGAACTTTCCACTGCTGGTTCCAATTTTAACTGTTCCCAATATTTTCTCTTTAAGATGAAAAAGAAAAACAAAAAAGCCTTTGTTGAATCAGTGGCTGAAGAAGAACACTATAAAGTGCCAGAGTATAAAACAGTAATAACTATTTATTCTCAAAATCAGCTGAATATTACTTTATCCAAATGTGGGCTATTAATGTTGAATAACCTAGGCACGGTAAGTGAGATTTCAATTTGGATCTGGGCCTTAAGTGAAGAAAATCATCTCTAGAAAAAGTTATTAAATTGAAAATTTATTGAATTATTATTCTTGTTTGGATAGGCATTTGCAGAAGCAGCTACAGAGACTTCAGAAACATTCAAAAAAGATCAGGCACCTTTTGTATTAATAAATTCCTTAGGAGTTTCCACTGTTGTTTTGCCTAGTGAATCATTCAGCGTTCTTAATATTGAACCAAAAGCAAATTCGTTTCATCTTGAAGATGGGCAAAGTCTAAATATGGAATATATCAGGACTAAAAGTGAGCAAGACCAGTTCACAGCAATGACCACTCTAAGCAGCAAAGTATTCTACATTTGGCTCAGTAAGTAGGCATGAAATGTCTGTTAGTAAACATCTAAAAATATAGTGATGCAGCTATGTTGAACTTATTTCCTTTTTTTAAAAAAAACTAAGTTTGTTTAAATAACTTTAGTTTGTCTAAATATTTTAGTTCTGAATGTACATAATATTGATTCATGGCTTATATTAATATTGTTCATTAACAGCTACTTTTCCAAGACCTAATTAATTTTTCAGGGGAAAATGAATAAATTAGCAATCATTTGTATATCAGAATCAAACTATATATTACACATATCTGTGACTAAGTCTTCTAACTAATATTTTTCTAAAACTAGCTTCCAAGGTCTCAATTAGGATTATGGAGAAAGGAAATAACAGTGATTGGGGAGAGGAAAACAAATTCATTAGTGAATTAGGAAAGGAGGAACATAAGTTAAACCTCAACCCCTTTTATTGTAGCCCTTGTTCAGATCAGTGAATTATTTTTTGTTGATATAATAAATTCTTTTTTCATAATATTTATGTACAGGTAGTCCTCACTTAACGACCATTCATTCAGCAACCGTTCAAAGTTACGACAGTGCTGAGAGAAGGGACTTACAACCTGACCCAAAGTTACGGCAATTTGGGTCCTTGGCAATTGGTTCGCCCTTATGACTGGTTGCCAAGCATCCCACGATCATGTGATCACCATTTGCAATCTTCCTTGCTGCTTGCCGGGAAAGTCAATGGGGATGCCGGCAGGGAAGGTCACAAGCCGCTGCCACCTGCCGATAAGACTCCCGCTCTTCTTTGGAGGCTGCCTGAAACAGCGCATTTAACACAGAGAGCTTTGGGGGCTGCCTGAAACAGCTTTATGCCGAAAATCCAAGCAGGAGTTTCAGCTACAGAGGATGGGGAAGGGAGAGAGGGGATGCATGGAGGTGGATGGGAGGATCAAGTCAGGTGTGCAAGGGTACGATGCAGGTCGGATGCGCGGGGGCCTCAGAACTGCTTGGATTTTCAGCCCCAGAGTGGAGAGGCTTCAGAAGCCTCCCCATTCTGGGGCTGAAAATCCAAGTGGTTCTGAGGCCCTCACACACCTCACCTGCACTGCACCCTCGCACACCTGACCTGACCCTCCCACGGACCTCCTCGCTCCCTCCCCCACGCAGCGGCACCTGGGGCTTACAACTCCCTGCCGGCCTCCCCACTCCGTTGGACCCGCGGGGGAGTGCCCCAAGAACCGCGGCGTCTC